TCAAGTAATCACAATCAAGCATGTTAGAGATAAAACGCTTAACACCCATTTTTCCCAACCTAGAATGATACATAATGGAATGCAACAAGGATCAATCCTAGGATCCGTACTATTTCTATTATACATCAATGACATGGCTCTGTCCTTACAAAAGAGCAAAATGGTCATAGGACCAGATGACACAAACATTATTGAAGCAAATACCCAACGAACTCTACAAAAATGAGCACAAACAGTCCTGGAAGCTCTAGTAAAATTGTTACAGGAAAATAAACTAATCATAAACACCAACTGTCTCCCTAAAGTTTCGGAATCCACTCTAAAAAAAGCGTCCTGCTCAATTAATGATAAAAATATGCCTGTAAAAATAGACCAAAAATAACTTTCCTTGGGTTGACTATTCAAGATCTAAAATTGAACTCCCATAGGTAGCGACGCGTATTTTGTAAAATTACATTGAGCACAACGCCACTGAGAGAGGAGCCCGGAAACGTGATGTTTTCCTCTAATAGCGTGCGCTTTCGGGACGCTGTGAAATACAGCCCTTTTGTTTCGGCGCCACACTCTGTGACTCAGGGGAAAGTACGGACGCCTCCCTTTCCGAGCGACTCACCGCCGCCGAGCCCTTTTGTCGGAACTCGGATGACGTTCGGGTTTCGCAGAATTCGGCAAAACGCAAGCGGAACGCCGGCGTCTGCCAACGCCGCCGCGATATGGCGGAAGATACCACCTGACGCGCGCCCGCCAATCGCGGGAAATGGAGCAGGAGAGGCTCACGTGGCCTACGAGGTGAACTAAAGACGCTAGCTCGTTCATTCTTAATACTCATCCTGCGCATTCAACATTGTTTTCTCAATTCTGATCCTGCACATTCGGATTCTGCTTCAACTCACGGGAGGACGCCAGCGACTGCACTGCCGCCGCCCGAATGCCTTGCCTCATCGCTACATCTCATGCCGACTCTGGGGACGCTGGCTCGGGACAGTCGCAATGGGCCATAATATACAAGGTTACAAGGTGTTGTAAAATAATGTACATGTATTATATGTGAATTTTTTGTTGTGAGCTGTCGATACGGTCACCTGATGAATGTGATTACTACGTTGAGTGTTGTAGTTATAGATTACGGCGTTTGCTGAAAATATAAATAATAAATTAAAATAAATTCTGGACGTGTGGGCTGTCGCATTGTCCTTTTGAATTTGGCCAAGACCGCGGGGATGCTCAATGGACATGAATGGGCGCAGGTGATCAGAGAGGATGCTTACTGTCAAGAGTCGTATCTGGACGTTTCAAGGGCCCCATGTCACTCCAACAGCACCCGCCTCATACCATCAGAAAGCCTCTACCGGCTTGAACAGTCCCCTCTTGACATGCATGATTCATGTGGTTGTTGCCATACATGTGCACGTCCATTCGCTCAAAACAATGTGAAGCGAGGCTCGTCAGACCAGGCAACGTGGTTACGGTCATCAAATGTCCAATGTCGGTGTTGACGGGCCCAGAAGAGACGTAAAACATGTGGTACACACACCACTTGCTGAAGAAAGGGATAAATCGTTTTTCTCACTTTTCCCGCATTTGTTGCATGAGTTGACGTGTTTTATATTGTAAGATATATTTTGGTACAGTTAACCACTTATTCACAACACTGACAATATATTACGTTTCCGTCCGCCGTGAAACATTCTCCACGAATAACAGGAGCAACGTGAGCAACAGTTCTATGATGCCCATCTCATCTATCTTTAATTCAAAACACAATTCGTTCGTCTTTTTGACGATCAGAGAAATGGGATGTCTTTGAGATTTAATCGTAAACTTGCTACACACATAACAGAAAATATTTGGAGAATTAAAATATTTCCGAGACATCGCTGAGTATAAGGATGCGCGAACTCGCACAAACAATATTCTCCACATTGGCGAATTCACACACTTCTAGATACTGTGTGATCTCACTACCGATTGATTGATGCAACTGCAACTTACCCTACCACAAGTGGCTATCTCCCCCTTCTTTCTACCCCCACACTAGGCAATAATATTCCTAAAATACCAAAATGTGATAAGCGCTGCGACGATATAAATATCCGTGGGTGAATGCTGATACAATTGCGTTTTCAGAAGAACGTTTCGGTGATAGCGAACAATCGTTTTCGCCATTGTCGTCAGGGTACTGAACTACATATCTATCACATATTTTGTTCTGCGGCAACTTTCATTCTGGCACAGAACTACAGTCATACGTACCATCCACCTTACATACCTCCATTGCACTATTTCCTGATGATATCGCTATATATTCCTCGAACCTTGATATTACCACCGCACAAGAAGACCTGCAACATCACCTTCCCCAGTTCTCCGACTGGGACAAGAAATGGCACATCCCGATAAATCCATCAAAAAGTCAGGCCAAAATCTTCACACTCTGCAGACCAAAAAATCCTCCCTCATGTATTAAGGGGAAAAGGTATCTTGGCGGATCCCAAACAACAAGCCAGTCAAATGTCTTGGTGTATTTTACGAGAGGAGACTCGCTCGGAAATGAAATATTCTTCACGGAAGAAATCTGGGCACCCGTAGAACTCACCAACTACATCTCATACTCAAAACTTCACCCCTGCGACGTCATGTAGCTTCTCATCTATACCAATCAATGATTCGTCCAATCTTATCCTACGCATTCCCTATCTGGATCTCAGTCAGCAAATCAAATATCCCCAAAATGCAGATTTTCCAAAATAAATTACTCCGAACAAAAACTCTCTGGTTTGTACGTAACTCCCAGTTACATACCGAACTCGGCATCACACCGATCTCCAACCAGTTCTCCCAATCTACTCTCTTGTATCCTAAAATTCTCCAGATTCCCTCAGCCGTACATTTCAAAATCGGAAAACACGTGTTCTTCCTTGTTGCTGATCTTGGCTGGAATAGTTTAAAACTCTGTAGTACTCGGTCTTCTTCAGGCGCGGATCCACGGGGAAATGAGGGAAATCCCTGTAGGGTTTAGTAAATTATTTCCAACCTTGAGGAACTCGCAAAATTGCCGGAATATTAAAGTGGAGTAGGATCCTCTCTTCTGAATACAACAGTAGTGTTAATTACGATTTTTTAAACCTTCAATGTTCTAGTTGACACCATTATTTGCAGTAAATGTGTAAATGTTTTATGTGTAAAACTTTTGTGTAGTCAATAAGCACTTGAAATTAGGTTAAGAAGACAAAAGTGGGCTTTGTCCCAATATTAATGTGACTGACACATATTTGCCACTGAACTCTAGAAGACGTGCACAGATAGTGAAGTTACAGTTATGCGAATGCTCTTGGCTATCCGAGTGATGCCGCGTCGAAGGCTGTGGTGCCGACATTTCGACCATCTTGACGTGGTCTTCCTCGGGGATGGTCTGCCTACTTTCGCGGACCAGCAGTACAACACGCTGAGGAAGACCGCGACAAGATGGTCGAACCATCGGCAACCCAGCCTTCGACGTGGCGAAACCCGGACTGCCAAGGGGTTATCCATAAATTACGAAACGCTAAAGAGGGGGAGGGGGTTCGAGGCAGCGTTATGCTGCTTTACCTAGGGGTAGGGGGAGGGTATCCGATTAGTGTTACGTAACATTGATTTTTAACATTTTTTATCATTTGTTGAAATATTTCCTCTTTTGAGTGTTATACTAAAACATTAAAATATTTTTTAATTACTTTTTTTAAACAATAATTTAAAGTTATTAGAAGTTGTTACAAAAATGGGGAAAAAATCATAATTTTGTTTGAATCTGTAAGATTACGAAGAAAATATTCAAAACTGATCTGTAGAATTTTCTAGAATCACATTCAACTGGCGCAGTACGATAGAATCTCGCCAATGCGCCATCCACAACTGCGGCATGTGCACGGCTTGCGATCAGAAATTTTCTCGCTATGTGTCATTTCTTTGCTCAAAACTTGCCCCACCCCCACCTTATTGTTAGATGCAGTCTGCATCAACACCTAACTCCGACTTTAATATAAATTTAAATATGTAACACAAATAAAATGAATACAATTTTTGTACAATGCTATGATTTATTTTTACTTCTTGCATTTACGAGGGGGTGGGGTCGCATGCGTTACATACTTATTTAGGGAGTGTTGAAGACCACGTTACAGTTGCGTTACAGGGAGGAGAGGGGATCCACAAAACTGCAAATTTGCGTTTCGTAATTTATGGACGGCCCCCAAAAGCATTTGCAAAAGCTGGCCGCGGAAGTCTACGACTTCGCTTAACAAATCATGAATTCTGTCCACTGTACACAATTATGAAAAGACGTGCAAGAAAATGAGGTAAATATATATATTTATTTATTGTAACATTTTTAAATACACACGTACATACATACAAATATCTCGGTTTACATAATAAAGTTATTGTATACGGTGTTTTTGTATGTATAAAATAGATATATTTATATTAAAGTTTCATGATTAGTAAAAAGTTCATGAAGAAAAATATACACATTTATCTTCAAGGAGCTTACATACTACATAGAATTATCAATTGATCATGTACAATTTTTAATGTGGAAGAGAATGGTTATTGAATAATTAAACAGTATTAGTGAAAAGTCGTTCTTTTGACTCAAGTATGGTGATAATGTAAAAAGTTTAATTGAACAAAGAATATTCATTTCCTTCTGCACAGATATCTATATTGAATGCAAATGTTTTAAAATGTTTAACCTACATAAAATGTTGAAATTTTATTTATTTAAATATATATATATATATATATATATATATATAAAAGACAACAAATTAATTTATTTATGATAACGAACCCCAATTCAAATCATATTAAAAATTACTAAGATGTGACCAGCAGGGGGCTTTAACCATAAGGAAAGTTCCTTTTATCATTAGAATTAAATAATATTTACCAAATAACTAAGCAATTTTAAGGAAATGGAGAACATTTTGAAGCATTTGTCCTTGACGCTGAAAATGATTTCAAGAACAAACAGTACTCATATGCAAAATTCTTCTTCTAAATTTGATGTTCTCTAAAATATTTTCTTGTCTAACCAGACAAGTCACTGACAATAAACTCTTCTGAAATTGATGTATGAGAATTTTCCCAATATTCGTTGGGTAATTATTGACTGTTTACTGTAGATAGCATGTCTGTAAATAAAGAATAGTCAAAATTACCTAAAGAACATCTGTCATTGAGTTACACTAAAGCATTCATTGTTTCAAACATGAATTCACTATAAAAAAAATCATCATAAGCCTCCTCCGAAAGAAAGGATTAAAATAACTTGTACCTGGTATTTGTAAGTCACTGGTTTGAGCTTTGCATTGGGCAGTTATATTATATTAGTATTTTAGTTAATCACTTTATTTGTGACTCTCTACCCTGAAGAAGCTCTGTTGGATGCTCCAATTATATATGCTCCAATTACATATATAATTCCAAATCTGTCTTTCTTAATAGTTACATAAATTACATTCTCTTTTATTATATTACAAGATACCCTTATGATTAGTCATTGAATGTGTATAGGTGAACTTGCAGGCCTAGCAACCCTAGTTGGAGAACTTGTCAATGCCAAAGAGCCCAGTGTTTCATCAAACCACTTTCGTGGGATGTGGCACCTCATCCCTGTTGTCACTGCCTCCCCTCAGAAAAAGTTTAGAAAATCACCGCCCATGGCGTGACACCACACTCCTTGGAGCAAGATCAAAGGATAATCATACACAGACCTAGAAACGTGAATGCAAAGAGGTGTTGAAAATATTAGTGAAGTCTTGTGTCTAAGTCTGGCATATTATGTGTTTATACAGAGAAAGAAGGAAGACAATTATTAGAAGAAACTTACTTTTGCCAATGTCTTTGAATAGGTCCTTTCACAGAATTGAATTCAATTCTTCAAAGGCTTATTATATAACTTTTTCTTGGTCTTCTATGCTTTTAATGTTGTGGTTGTACTACACAGTGGCATTATGTCTCGGTATTTCACGTCTTTCTCGGTCATGCAGCTAGATTTCGCATGATCGCCACCTATCCAGCACTGCATCGCGATCTTGCGACGCCGAGAAAGACGCGAAAAAACAGTGACATATTGCCACCGTGAAGTAGGGCGGCGTCATAAAAACCTCACTATACAACCCCTACGACAGGGGGAGTGGGGGCATACCAATAAGGCAATGGAAGGACACTCTTGTAGACGGACCGGGCCAAAAGGTTTAATCCATGATGATTAATTTGTAAATGTATAACGAAACCTCTATGTAAGAAACGAACAAAGAAATATGAAATAATACACAAATTCTAACTTACGTAGCATCCAAGTGCCTTGAATCAATTCTCATATTACGTTCACGAAGCGAAGGAAATTCGGAGCGGGCGACTATGACGCCAAATTACAAAAAAACTACTCATAATTTCAAAAATTCAAACTGACCTTATTTCAAGGTATTTTTATGAACATATTTCATTAAGATAAAAACAATACATCATCAAAATGATAGTTATGGGATATGCCGATCTTTTTTTTAATTTTTCAAATTTTTCAAAAATTAGGCGTTTCAACAAACACGCGATGTTTCATTTCTCTTCAGCGTTCTTTACACTACCTAAGGTCCAAATTCAATAAAAAATTGTACAATTTTTAAGAAAAAATAGTTTAAAGAAAATAAAAATTTCCTTTATTTGACATAAAATGTCACAAAAATACTTATTTTTTCGATATATTGATCATGACATTATATGAAGGTCTGTTTTTGTGAACGCATTTCATTAAGAAAAAAATATATTCACATACATAATTGTAGTTGTAGGAAGACGCTGAAAAAATATTTTAGTTTTTGCAATTTTTAAAAGAAGTTAAAACAAAAACATTGGAGCCTTTTTTTTAATGTCCCAGGGGCATCATGTAAAGTACCACTCACCCAATATTATAATTTCGATTCCAAAAGGGGAATGCCAATTTTAGAGAAAGACGTCTGAACGTCTGTGTGTGAACAACGCCCACGTGTTAGAGGATTTTTTTCTAATCTTGGCACTTTTTCGTTACTAGGGCCCGGCAATATGAGTTTTCCTTCGCCGCTTTTCCCAGCATTATTACATATTTTTCTCTTTACTGCGGTAACGAGAAAGTAAAAAGATATTGTATTCTAGTGTAAGTATTAGAGTAACGACTGGCACGATAGTTGCATATTGAGAAATCATCTACACAGTTTAAAATATAAATTTTTACTTTTACCTTTTCTTTAGACTGTGAACAGACTGGATGAAAGGCGGCTGTGGTGCTTTAAAAGTTTTGAAAAGGGCTCTCTACTTTTACTTAATAGAACATCTTATTTCCTTGAAAACGTTTAACGATTTCTCCTTCTTTAACTTGACAATTTGAAGCATTTGGGGAAGAAGCTCTGTAAGCGTCTAGTAACCTTGTAAATAATTTATCATCAAATCAAAAATATTTATTAATTGTAAATTGTATCATTAAAATTATAATTTCATTATCTTGGTATATGTTATTAATTTGGTAGTAAAATATGTCCTTACTAAACAAAAAAGTCGAAAAGAAAATAGTGCCTAGAAATGTTGCCTCCCCATCCCCCTATTGATTCATGCTATTCACACCTATTATTTTTCCTTTATTATTCAAACTTCATATTTTATTTGTAAAGTAAGGTAACTTGTCAGGAATCCTCGCTTATAGATAATTTCAAAATAATCTAGAATAGTATTTAATCTACATTCAAAAAAATACTTACTTTTAGAGGTTGAAGAAGTCCTTTACATCAAGACACACTGAACAATTTTGTGCAATGCAATCTAGCCAGTGAATAAATACATGCTTGGATGCAGCACAGTGTAATACTGGGCACGATTTGCCTTCTATGCAATTTGAAATATGAATCAAGACATCCTTTGCATTTTCACAGTACTGAACTGAACACTGAAAAATGTTTAAGACAAAATTTTCGTTGATGAATTGGCAGGAAAAGCAGTACCATTAAGATACAATATTAATGCTACTCAAAATGGGACAGTAGCAAATTCAATGTAAAATCAATCTTATACATTATTAAGTAGTAACAGCTTGGAATATAAATACGAATTAATAATACTACTACTAATAAAATTTGTTATAAGTATCGTTCTTTTAAAATGATAATTCGTTAATATTAATAATAATAATAATAATAATAATAATAATAATAATAATAATAACAATAATTCTCCGTTTTCTCGCGGCATTAATTTGATTCCTTCACGTAGAGCACTAGCCAAAATCTGACCCGACTTTCCATTGCAAATAGCTTTTGTTACTAAGGAGCGAATACTTTCATACCAACAGGCAAAAAAACGCTCCTTGCTACATATATTTGTAATTTTCTTCCCCTACTCTAACATCATAAGAGACTTTTCATGACACCTTTCTTTCTTGATACTTATAATCCGGATATTCTGCCGGCATTTCTGTGGAAGTCGAGTAATCTCTACTGTCCCCAAAAAGTGAATGTGTTTTCGGTAGTAAGGGGAACATGATATTATAACAGTCCAGCATGGGCCTACACATGAACTATTCCTCACAAGATGTTAAAATTTACTCTTGTTGGTGTTAAGAGGAGGTATTCCAGTTTTAGATCACTCATTTACTAATTTAAGATCAGATTGTATCACCTGGTAATGTTTTATTTGGTTAGCAAATAACTTAGTAACATCGACATAACTGTTCTAGTCAAAATCTTCGATATCGTTTTATTATAGAGCAATAGTGGCCACAAGATAGATCCTTGAGGAATTCCACTAGTAACTACCTTCTGTGTTGAGTCTACCACAGAAAGATATAATCGGATCCATTTCAGTAAGTTCCTTTGTGTTCCCAGATATTTGAGTTTCTGAAGAAAGTCCAGGTGTGTCCAACTTGCAAAGTCTCAAGGGACACAACTGAAAGGTTTTATAGTATGGTTGCGGGTCATATTTACAGTACTTGGGCGATCCACTCCTTTGCCCGGTCGCTTTGAAATGGAAGGTGGGATGGAACCACGCTTGATTTGAGGCCATACCATGTATAACGCACGGAAACACACTGGGATGATCTTAAATTGATGAATTTAATAGAAAAAATCTTAATTCTAAACACCTTATTTTTACATTGAGAGGGTGATGACCAGGCAGTGCGTGTGTGCTAGACGGGCAATGTTCTCGCCCAACAAGGATGCGAGCAACTCCCACTTCTAACAACTTTTCTCTGGAGGCAAGCGGCCTTCAGACTGCCAATTGGACAACCCTGAGATAGTAAATGTGTGTAGGTTGTATGGGTCTTTGTCAAATGCCTTTACGAATTGTAGGTAATTTTTTTCCATAAGTTACTTTGCCTCCACGGCTTTAGTCCACACAACAAGCGATATCATTCGAATTTTTGTTGTCGTCGATCTTCCGGGAGCGAAACTGTTCTGTCGTTTTGCAATACAGTTGTCTCTGTGTCAATAGACACAAAGACATCGGAGTTACAAATATTTGAAGCTTTTATTATCGATTTCAGCAAGTCAGACGAAATGTGAGTTCGACAATTATAATAGAGGCTGTCTCAGAATAAATGCTACAAGCTTATAGAATGCGCAAAAGGGTCGAAAATGATCACTTAAGTAAATATTTTGACATTGGTAATGATAGCAGAAGGTGTGACAATGTTCCCAAATACTTTTTAGCTCTCGAGTAGTAACGAATCTTTTTTATTTTAACTCAATTTTTTAAATTTCTGGATTATATTTTCATATTTGTAAAAAATCGTCTCTATTCTGTGGCCTTTTCAAATAGCACTAGATTCATGTATAATACTGTAAAACAGTGCACTTACTGTATTCTCCCTAAAATTATTGTTTTCTGAGTTGCGACACAAATTTTCTGAGGTACATGAGCCCAACGTCAACTTTGGAACTAAAAACGCGGGGACACAGTAATGAGAATACCGTTCTTACATAGTGCAACAGATAGCACAACTCATCAGGTGAATTATGTATACACCAACACCTCTGATAGAGAAAACACAACATAGTATTCTAGAAGGCGCAGTGTCACAAAGTCACCTGCGCGGCACAAAGTTACCCCAGTTTACGGTATTCTGTCTTGTGCAAATTCATCACAGGACAATTTCATGTTTATAATATTTCATTACTCTTATAGCAGAATTATATTAGAGTTACAACAGATTGTCGATAGGCAGGCTGTCACGGTCATACCTTTGCACAACATTTACTTTGATTCTCCTCTTCCAAGCACTTTTCTGCATGCAAAAGGAGAACCAATAATTCTGATGGTGGTACAACTTTCTTCTCGTCCTCCGATTCATGTTTTTCTTTATTTTGAAATGTATTACCAGGAGTTTTAATATGAATTGATGAAAATGTTGGTACTTTTTCCTGAGGTTGTAATTGGTAGTGACAAGCAAGTCCTGAAAGAGAATATATAGAGAAATCAAGTTCCTTAGAGATATATTTTAAATCTACCCTCTTACAGCTTAAAAATGTAGTTATTCCTAGTGTGCATTGGCTGGATAAGAATACAATAATACCTCAATGCGTTGTCAGTTGACATCACATCAAATGCTAATGATAGTGTTTGATACCAGAGAAGCAGATATTATATTAACAATTTACACAATTCAAGCACACACACAAAAGAGTAAAATTTGAATGATCACATATAAAATGTCAATATTACAATAAGAACCATAATATTTGAGCAATGTACATGGCTGAGGTATGTATATAGTGAGTCGTAAGACCCGTCGCAAAGCGCGACCCTTGTGTCACGCTCCATCAACATATTTCGAGGTGAAGAGCGCCGTTAACAATTCGACACGCGCAACTGCGAGTGCGCCGCTAACCCAATATTCCCCAGCGAGCGTCCGCCGCCGAAACGCACCTTTCCATTTTTGTTTGTGGCTGTAGGTGACTGACTACCGGAACTGTCACATTAAGAGGCGAGAGTAGCCAACCATAAATTCCTACGCGACAGTAAATCACGAAGCTCCGTAGAAGACTAGCCTATGGAAGCCTCGCGCTAAGCACGTGATAGGACGGGCATCGGGTGAGCGAACGGCGCTAGAAAGATTGAGAATTGGAGAACGACGAGAATTGGAGCGACATTAATGATATAACTAATTACGGACAAAAAATTTCATTTTGAAGAAAATTCTCTATCTTAAATGTAGTATTGTAGGAAATCGCCAAAAAAATTGAAACTTTTGCAATTATCAAAAATTCAGAATTAACAGTGAAAATCGGAACTCTGCTATCTTTATAAGTGTATTGTACTCTATTATTTTATAAAATTTAAAGAAAAGATTTGGAGCCATTTTGAGAAATTTTGTAAATGTCCCTGGGGTTTGATGTAAAGTATCTCCAAAAACTATTTTTTCTTTAAATTGTAGTGCTGCGAGTCAGGCAGATTGGCAGGGATTTCTTTAGTTTGGGAAAGATCTTACTCATAGTTTAGTCGTTAGTGTTGTTCTCATCAACCAGACGGACAGACGTTTTGCCGCCAATCGATTTTTCGGTGTCAACGACCCACAAAAATGGATTCTGCCTTCACTACGAGTAAGAAGAGGTAATTTACTTCATACATCAACAAGATGTGTTCACTTATTTGATGCCAAGACCCAGCAATTAGAATATTTCAGCCGAAAATTCGCCGTTTTCTGGCGCACGATTACATAATATTCACTGCTTCGCGTTACCTTCGTAAGGGTGAGAAAGTAAAATCAGAGTGTCATATGCGAGACAAGACAAGCTCGCGTTTTTGTTTGTTTGTCGCTATCGTGCAAGCGGTTTGAATTTGTTGGTCGTTCTATCTTGTACACAGTCCAACAGATGTCACCGGTTTTGGTGAGTGTTCGTGCCTCTTGAAGCATGTGTTTGAAACTTCGAGGGCGCTACAGATCTGCCAGTGAACGTAACTACACTATCTTGTTTTTTCAAGTAATCGGTCATTGCTACAATTGGACAAGATGAGACGACGGTTTCTATTTTTTCCTGGCAAATGCGGCATTTATCATCTAAGGAAAGTTTGAGAACCGCTTTGTCATATTATCGTGATCTCAACGCCTAATGTGGGGCAGCTATCAGCTGCTTCCTATTCTGGCGCCATTCTTCCCCTTTTAAGTCACATAAATGATTGGCCTTTACTGATCTGCACCTTGTCCATTCTTTTTAAATATTGTCCATAGAGGGAGAGTGGTTTTTCTCTTCACAGTTCTTTATATTTGTTTGTCTCGCACTTCATTTTAAGTAGCATCAGAAGTTCAGTGTCTGTGTTATTTTACGTGTTCTAAACAGTCTTCTTCGCAATGTTTCTTACAACAATTACAATGACTCTGTTTCCCATTCTTCGGTCAGATTTAATGACCTGCCTCATTAGCGGGTCATCTTGAGGTCTAAATACTTTCCCAGCCCGACTGTTGCATTGTGCCAGGAAGTTTTAACTCTCTGTTGGAGGCCTCTCAGTCGATAACACAAAAAATGGGCGATGTCCTGGGCCGAACTTTAGCACAGTTTGCGTACTCCTGCCTCGCCCTGCGGGATTGAGCTGACCAATACGCTTTAGTTTTATTTCAAAAAGGCAAGACTATTCATCGTGAACATTAAAAATTGGTGGCAATCGTAAGTTAAATTATGGTAAATATTTTAAAATATTAAATCAACCAACAGTTTTACATAAATTGTAGTATACACATTTAGTTAAAGAATTAAAGGCATGCAATTCCCCAGTAAAAATCCTTTTTAAATCAATAATAATACTTAAGCATTACCGCAATTTAAAATAATAAATAAATAACTCCTAGGTGACAAGAACGCGATGTACGCGACCCTATAAAATACTACCTTCTACTTTATTTTTACTTTCAGTTTTATGTAATTTTAGCTGTCAGTCGCTTGGCTGTCAGACTCGCCAAGCTGAGCCCGAATATTTTCCTCCCCTACGGGCAAGGTTAGAAGAGCAGAAGGGATAAAGTTGGAAACTCCCTACCGAGTTTCGACACTGTCTGCAATTTAGAATCCATTTGCAGCAAGGAATAACTAGAGTATACATATTTATAGACTTCAAGAAAAAAACACCTACACACTTTCACTCACTTTATTCTCCATCTGTTCACCTACTTATATTCTAATAAAAATAGCTCTTATTTTTTTGTATTATCAGCAATGGTCACGTAATATATTACAACTTTTTCGCTATCCGTACTTCATCCTCTTAAAACTCTTAACGAGACGACCAAAAACTGAAAAAAGTACATACCTTAAATTATTGAAAAACGTAAAGGTTTCAATGCGTTGTGCTCCATACACTCAAACAATTTCAAGGAATAAAAAAAACATTCCTCAACTCGAGCACTTTGGCTCTTTATGCAAACGCCCTGCCACTTGAACTAGGGGACAGCTCTCGAAGATATCACTTATGTACTATTTTGCAATTACGATGTTGTTGACATGAAAAAATGTTCGCTCGCTCGTGCATTGAAGGCATTTTGCATGATGCCACTGTGCCCCCGCCCCCTGGATCGGCCACTGGCTGACGGTGTGGTGCCGTGACTAGAGCACGGAGTGGATGTCGGAGTCAGAGGCCGCCTCTCCGGATCCTCGTTCACTAATTGAACTTCTAACAATAGCCGCTCTCTGGCAACTAGCAATGGAAGTGACTTTTCAGATTTCCGCCAAAGTGATCTTGGCAACCGGTGGTGACGCGTGCCCATGGTCTACGTACACTCATAGGTGCGCTGATGGTGGGTCACCGTAGGCGACGAATCGCGGCGGCGATGGTGTAATGGTTAGCGTGTCGGACTGTCACACCCAAGTTCGTGTGTTCAAACCCGATTTTTAAGAGCGAAAAAATCCTTTGTGCGCCTTCCTTCGGAGGGGAAGTAAAGCCGGCTGTCCCATGGGAGGAGATTTACTTGCATGTAAAAGATACCCAAGCCGAAATGACGCCTCTGATCTAAATTCAAATCGCCTCTTTCTCGCCCAAGAAATACCTCCTTTCTCTGCTAGTGGGTGAAAGGAGCGTAGCGAAATGTGTGTGTTCAGACGGAAGAGTGGGCTTGATGGCCCGAGTCTTGCCACGTAAAGGAGAAGGCATCAATTCAATCGCGTCGCTTCGCCATCCTTCTGTTTATCTCACGTGATGAGAGCGCGTGGTTCGGCTGCCGGCGGCTCCCCCGGGCGCAGCGGCGATGGGGGCGGCAGCCTCCGGCCACGGCTCCCTGGAAGGAACGGCTTCCCGGAGGTAGCCTCGATCCGGTCGTCTGCGCACCGACAGGGATTCAAACGGGCGTTTGTGCCCTGTACCTGTACCCTGAACGTCAGCTCACCGCAATGTTGGAAGGGAAATGTTTTGATTCTGTTTGTTGGGTGAGGACGTTCTATAATTCTGAATTTATATCTTCGAACCCTTCGGGGGAAAAAAAACAGAGAGAAATCGCATATTCAAATCAATACGAGGTGATCTTCCGTGGAGGGAAGTGCGGGCAAGATTGTCCAAACCCACGTACGTCGCGCGGAAGGATCATGGTTCTAAAATTTGGCAAAGAAAACAGAGAACAAATGTAAGTAAATTCTCATTTGTAAACAAAACAATACGAAATTGATATATAATGCAATAACGAATTACTTGCAACAGTGCTGGAGACTTTCCCTCCAATTGTCACAAATTTTCAATTTAGATTAAATCAATTGTATTTTTTTAGAATTTGTTAACATTATTTTTTTAAATCTTTATTGTTATTTTATGTCAGCTTTAGCATGATAGCTTTAATACACTTATCTTGTAAAATTGTATTAAGTAATATGTAAACATTGTAATGTTCCTTTGATTGTTTGTGTTGTGTATTTGTAGTAACTGCTTAGAAAACGCTACTACCGGAAATATTCCATGTATTCCTAAGTAGCAAAATAAATATTCTATTCTATAATGCGTGGCGAATATCGCGCAACGGGGCTGTCCCATTACACTACAGATTAAAATAAGTACACGTTCGTGATATTAGATAGCTAATATATAAACTACGTGTCATTGGCTTTTGATCCCTCCATCCAGAGACCTGTGCTGTTAGTGTTTAATAGTACCAGTAGGTCACTGGTATTTTAACTAAATTAAGAACGAAAGAGATCCTTTGTTACCAGAGCAAATCTTTAACATACCCTTATGCTTAAATCATGTTAGATAAAATACAAAAATGAAAGCACTTGACTTACTTCGCATATGGACAAAATTCATTTCTATTCCTTTTGAAGATATACAGACTTGGCAATCAGGTAGAACACAATATTTCCAATGATTCATGATAAGTTTGAATGTCGAACACTGTGGTGTAGAACATGATCTACTTCCTGAACATGATCTCATATGATTTAATATTCCTCTCATGATTCCACAGCGTGTAACATAACACTGGAACATTAAATACACGAGTTCTGTAATAAATACTATTGGAAGAAAATGTTGTGTGAAGTACTTTTCAAAAAATAACAGAAACAGAAAATGTATGTAGAAGAAAATTTAGTTTTTAATTACATTTTGTCTTAGTATAAATACATCACTGAATGATTCAAAAGTTCTTACTAATATTAATATTAAAAAATCCCTCTGCTTATACACACAACCCTTATGGGTAATGAGGGCCGTAGAGAATAGAATTCACATTTCTGCTGCCTTCAGAACAAGAAGAAAATGGTGTGGCAAGCGTCATGACCCCCGAAGATTTGTTATTAAATAAGACACTAAAATTTCTGTATTAATTAAAAGGAGATTAAGAAGCCCTCAGTATCACCTGATACTGATCGTTTACATTAAATTATCTATTGTGGATAAATATTGTTTTAATTAAAAGATTTAATTAAAAGAAGAGAAACGTCCTACTAGTTTTTGAAATCTATAATTACCTTCATTAGCAAATGAGCTACAGATGTCATTTGAAGGTAATACTGGCAAACGAATGAAACTTCCACTCCTTCCTGAACTTTTAAAATTACCTCAAAAATCGTGTGCAGATAGTGAAATAACATTTACTGTAAAGTAAGGAACCCTCTTAACATTTACCTAACGGAGCAGGGAGAAATTGAAGAAAAACCAGCATGATTACTTCTCACTGCAAAATCATGTTAATAAAATATTACTTTAAAATTTTGACATTCCATGTTTGTAATTCTTCAATTTTACAATTCCATTTTTTAAATTACAATTTCATTCACTTGTAATTCTAACAAGAAAAGGTTTTTAAAAGAAACTCAAAATACTTGCCTTTTTAACATGATGTCGTCCTCGCATTTGTCGAAGAATACACCTCAAAGCATGCGACATTAAAAACATCACATTCAGCAATTCCTTTTGCTTCTTCTTATCAGAAATATATTCATGTATTAAAGACGCTTTTTTTCGAGATGGTGAGACGTCACCGCGATCTGGTGATTGGGTTTGCTCAACCATTAACATTGCACTGAAAGGATTCACTAGGATAGGCGTAGTGAATGGCATCTCGCACTGTTTTATTTCTGGTTGTGTTTCTTCACTTTCTTCCGCACTTTGAGGTTCTTTCACCAATTCACTTACTTTAGTTTAAATGAAAAATTGAACATTTCATTAAGTTTCTAACATTTTACAACATACCAATGTAACAATTCATTTTGTAAACAATGAGCTACATAAATATAAATAAAATTAAATATCACAATGAAAAAGTATTCAAAAAATTGTATTATAAGTATTATAATTGTTGTATAATTGTAATAAAAGTATTATAAATAGCATATTTATGGTTTTTAAGTGTCCTTATGTATATTTCTTTTCCATTTATTATTTTATTTTAGTTAAGACGTTTTTCCGATGCGCTTAGTTATCCTGAAGTCTTGGGGGAAGATGAGGGGAAGATGTCACATGAAATAATAATTGAAAGCAAAACAAACTGTCATATCCGTAGTAGATTCACATTTGAATCCCTTTGAATTGAAATACTATGCAGCTACGTTCTATTTTGTTATGATCTGTGCTGTTCGAAGATTATTATGAACATTTTTACTTTCTCGCATTTACTAACGTAAAAAGAGAAAATATTGTAACGGTGAATTTTCGACACACAAACTCTTACTTCCGGGCCCTGGTAGGGAGAAAGTGGATTAACACAGTTGCTAAATATAGAAAAATAATCCTCTAACTCATGGTGTAGCCAGAATTCATATTTTGTGCGTCCTTCACACCGAAAAATTGATTGACGGCAAAACGTCTGTCTGACATCCTGGCTGACCGGGTGACACTGCGTCGTTGGCTAAGAGGCCGACGTTTCGCCTGTCAAATCGCAGGGTCGCTTATCACAGTCATATCCTTAGGGTAGTAACAATATGAAGGTGAAACGTCGGCCTGTCAATACCAAACTCTCATCTCCCCCAAGTATAATGATGTATTATTAACGACGATAAAGAGACACTTTGTACATGCTTGTATTACTTTATAACTAGAGAAAAAAAGTCACTCCACTCCACCAGGTCACATCATACACTAGAGCTCTAAAAAGATCCTTTGTATTCACCTGCAAAAGCAAGGTGACATTGTTTGTAAATTTCCATTTATTTGAGACAATCAGGTATGGAAAAACTGAAGAAAAAATGTTATCCTATGTATCATGTTAATTTGTGTATAATATAGTGCGCATTTTATTAAAAATGCCATTTTCACGTTGGAAAGACTTAATATAAGGAAATTATAAGTTGTAGGCGTCGTAGTGAATCTCTCTAAATATCTGAAATATGTATTAAATATTCAGGTAAAACTATAACTTAAGTTTCGAACAGTTATAGTTTAAGGAATTATCGTGGTTGTGTTCCTCTCTAACTCGTCAGAAATTGTTTTGTTGGACACGATTGATTTTTAACAATAAAGTAACATTTGAAACAGAAAAGGATTTTAAACTCTGTTGTATATAACTAGTTCGTTGCATAAACAATCAAATTCGGCAGAGCATATAAAAATAATTAATGGAGTTCGTTTCAGAATACATCAATGATTTTGTACTAACAGAATATGTTAATGTCTGATTTCTTTATGTTCAGGTAGATGATACAATAGATACACAGGATACATGGTGTTTTGGTGTATGTTTGAGGAATATTATAATTCAGAATTAACTATTTATGTAGTTAATAAGGAAACAGATAAAGACATCACAGACGAGACTGCAACCTTTGAGAACCGAAGGATCGATTTGGTGTACAATAAATCAACGATTTCAATTTTTAACATAAGCAAGTACAAATTTATATTTCCCTACTAGTTCTTCACCTAACTTCACAGCCAGTAGCCGTCACTGCTTTACATTTGGGGCATTTTATTTTTTTGACAGATATTTATTGTAAGCGCTTCACATCCTCTTGCAGCATACCTTTAACATCAAATGACTTGAGTAGAAAAACTTACCTTGCACAAGATGGTACATCACAAGCTTGACAGGCATACAGACCGGACATTCAATGTTTGTACAATTGTTCCAGTTGGAAACCAACCGAACTGTTGGCACACAGCAGGATTCAAGACTGGTCCTCTCTCCTTCACAAATCTTTATGTGATCTAAGATGTATTTCATTGTTTTGCACTGAGGAACACTACACTGAAAAAACAACAACAAGAAATTGTGTATTTTCACAAAACATTATCATCTCTTCCCTACGATTATGAACTGAACACATTTATTTCATTTTTTGTTTACTTTTAATATCTAAAACATATAATTCTTATCTCATTACTGTGTTTATGGACATGAAACACTTTACAAACATAACACCCTTACGGACCTTTTGAATTCTTTATGCCCACTACTTAGGCAACAAATAACACTTTTTTTAAATTTCGATTTACTGGACTTTAAAACAACATAGAATATTGCTTACAGAAGTAAAGATCCTCGAAACTAACTACTAAACGCTTTCCTTCTTTCTTTTTCTTTTTCCATTTTCTTCTGCATTTTATTTTATTTTATTTTCCATATACTAAGTTTATATTACTTTCACGTATCTTTGTTTTATTTATTATGAATTATACAGTGAATTCCAACAAAATCACATAGTACTTTCTCTTTTATTTTTGTCACACTGACACCTGATTTGTTCCCTCCGTGGCAGGGACACCATCAGTAGTTACGAACTTCAAAATTTATTCCAATAGAGTTCGTACCCTGGCAATTCCTCGTCGCAAAGAGAACCTCCTATTTTAAGCACATTAATGCGTACAGCTAATTTTCTTTTCTATAGGTTGTTCTTTTTTGCACGAACAGAATAGACACATAGCTGAATAGAATAGAGGCAAACATTTGCACGAATAGATAGACGCATTCACTCCTTCGTCGTTCATACGTTTATTCTTATTCGTACAAAAACGTATCATTATAAACAATTGAATACGCTATATTTTTGTATAACATCATTATTAAATTATAACGAGGGAAAATGGTTGTTGAACTTGAATGTAGAATGGTGTGTTTCGTACATAATGTAGACAAAGACCGACTGTAATAGGGCGGCCAAATGAAGAAGAAATCGCTAGGCAAATTAAAAGGCTGAAAAACAACAAAGCGTCTGGTGAAGACGGAATACTTGCAGATCGCCTGAAGTGGGCAGGCCGCAAAACAATTAAAGAAATTACATTAGTAAAACAAAACATTTCACGCAATGAACAAATTAAATATTAAAAGCAAATGCATATTAAAGCCGTGAAAGAAATTTAAAAACATTACATTTGTGTAATTTTTGAAAAACAAAAGAATACAGAAAAATTGATTCTATGTCATCTTAAACAGTGCAGATAGCACTCACTACACGTTCGAAAAGTTTGAAGGAACAATTTGAAGCGGTTTTCGAGAAAATGGCGTTTGAGTATTTCTGAAAATCAGACATTTTGAGCTTATTTTAACAGAAAACGGTTGAGGTTTCGGGAAACTTTATCTGACATTATTTAAAGCATATGTACTCAGAAATATATTAATATGAATAAATTGCCGTTAACGTCGTAAGAGACAAGTTTTAAAAGTAATTTTTGACAAACAAACAAAATAGAGCAATCTGACGTTAAAGTCATCGAATAGAGTGCATTTATTATTATCCCTACCGAAAGTTTAAAGAAAACATTTGGAGCCGTTTTTGAGATAATATTGTTTTTGTACTGTTTTAAAATTGCACATATTGCTCGCTATTTTGCACAAAAACTACTAAATTATTCAAAAAAATATACATGACCTTAATGAAAGACCTCATTATGGAGAATAAATTTTATTTCAAGGGAAAATATCTGTCTTTGATTTTATAGTTTTAGGAAACCGCCGCAAAAAATCAAACTTTTGCAATTTTCTGAAAATCAGAATTATCCATGAAAATCAGACCTATGTCACCGTTATAAATGTTCTTTACTAAATTCTTACAAGAAATTTAAAGAAAAAAATTAGAGCCGTTTTTAAGAAAATTTAGAAAATGTCCGGCCTTTACGTAAAGAACACCCAAATTTTGAAGTTTTAATCAACTTTTTCGTTATCATGGCCCGGCAATGAATTTTTTTGCCGAAAATCCGTCGTTTTTTCCCGCAGCATTAAATAACTTTCCATATACTACGTATATATGTATATAAACCGTATGTATACTGTATTAGGTATACCGTATCCGTATGTGCGTATGTATAGGGGAAAGTAAAAATTACCAAAGCATATGGATGGACCAAAGGATTACCTAAGCATATAGACACCTGTGGAACGCGTGTATGCAATAAAGTGGAAATAATTTAAGATGGGTTTATGTGTTATTTTTTAACGTCAAATAAACAGTTGAAAACTGTGTATGACGTACTATGGCAAGTGTTTCCTTTGCACATTTTCTTAAATTCTGGGATCCCTACCATAACCCATATACAAATTGAATTCTGAGTACAAATGAAAACGAGAGTTTTGGCAAGAATTTGCCATATGTGCTCCTAGTGATAAAAACTATTTGTAAAGGGATATCAGCTAGAATTTTTTTAGTTATCCTTTATCGTGCCCCTCGTGAAGGAATCAACCTACTGCCGCCAGATCGTGGAGAACGTTAATTTAAATACTATATTCCCCATTGGACTCTAGAAAATATGATAGATAGTGAAGTGAATTTATGCCCAGAAGCAAAATAAGAGCCATCTCAACTTTTGTTAAATGGATAAGGAAAACTGGACGCAACTATGTTGGCAAGTATCTTTCATTTTTCTTTCAAAGGAAGGTATGATAGTCAATAATAAACATCGGATTCTTTCCCACCAATCTTAAAGTATTTCTGTTTCATTGCATACACCCATTCCTCACGAGTTCCGTCTCTCCGTTCGCTTCAGCTGCTTGTCCCCGACCGAGCCGCGCCCGCGCAGAGCGTTTGCCTTGGAAGGCCGCTCGCTCCGCGAAGCGCGCGCCTCCCACCCCACGCAGCAGCGCTAGTGGCGCTTGAGCAGCACGCACGTTCTCGCCCTTAGAAATGTACATTTACACCACAATTTCTCTTTCTATTAACGCGCCTCAGTCATCATTTTTTCTAAAACTCATTACAAATCGTAGAACATGTGGTACGAAAACTGAATATTTTCATGCACATATCAACACAAATTTGACTATTAAAAGTGCTTTTCATACAGCTTAATCATGGCCCAACAATAAGTAATAGTTCACAGACATTAAGCTGCCGAGTCGCAACTCGGCAAGGCAAAATGCATTCCAATCTGATATTCCTTTTAGGCTACTCATTTTTCTTAAAAATATTTAAAATAGGTTTTAAAGAATTTCTAAAAAATATTGTGTACATGTATAACAAAAGCTCGAATGTAAGAAACGAACAAAAAAAACATGAAATAATACACTAATTGTAACTCACGTAGCATCCATCTGCCTGGAATCACTTATGCTCCGTTCACGAAGCTCTGGGAATTAAGAGCGGGCGACTATGAAGCCAAATTATACAAAAAATTATCGAAAAACTCAATATGATATTATTTGAAGATTTGTTTTTGGTATTTTTAAGGATTTCACAATTTATTCGGAATGTATGCATGAGAAGATTTTCACTCTGAGCATCTCTGAATAATTAAATTGCCTACTGAGATATTCGCAATTGTAGACTGTACTTTAGATAACGAATATTAATGTATTTTCCTTAATTGATAATCCAGTTACTGAGAAGATTGGTTTCATTCAGTGTGCAAGTTTTGTTAATTTTTATTAAACGTTATTTATTAATAATAAACATAAACTTGTAAAAATACAGTAGGTTTTTCAAACCTAATAAACCTATAAATACGTTTCTCAAACCAAATGTTCCATTTCCTTCTCAGAAAACATTTAAAACAATAGATTTAAGGCTAGTTTCGTCAGGATTCGACATTAAGCCCACCGTGCGGTGGGCGCACCCAACAGCTAACCATTAAATACTCAGAAGCTTGAAGAAATAAATTAATTAGGAATTAAACTGTACCAGATAGGGCATTTGTTTTTTAGGCAACCGTTTGTGGTGTGCCACCTTAATCTTAGGTTCGCCCTTAATAAGTCGGACATTTGAAGAGCAATTAATTATTTTTCTCTAAAACTCTTTCATCGGCCGGGGTGGCGTAAGTACATGTGAGTAGCAGGTAGTTCACTGGCATTAGTGGGCGTTAAAAGTTAGGCGTCCATAATATGGGCTGCTGGCTGGCAGTCTAGCGGGCGAGATTTGATAGCTAGGCTAGCCATACGGGATGTCTTTACGTAGCTTTCCAAAATGAGACGGATTCCCCGGGGATACAACGGTGAGTATTTTATCTTTAATCTGCTTGCTGCTAGTAATTGGAGGCCTTCAATGAAACACCGGGCCTACATGTTTCGTCTGTCGAAGAGCGCTAAAATCCGGTGACGAATGTATTATGCTTGAGGCGTTGTTCCATTACAACTGCGAGCGCATTGCAAGCGTAGACATTATCGCCGACAGATCGTGCAGACTGTCGTGCAGCCGTTGCATAAGGAAAAATGTAAAAGTGCAGAGTGAGCGTGTTTGCTCATTTGAAGCTGAGAACCACAAAACCAAATATGCTACCATTTATAACTATTTAATTGGTAATTAATTACACAATAATAATAATAATATTTATTTCCTGCTGCTGAGCTTCCGCCCAGTGGATGTGCTTATACATATAAAGACATTCATATACAAGATATAAATACATTCAAAAACATGCTAAGAAAACATACAGTTTATACTATAGTTATATATTTTGTGGAGAAATATTTGTGCATTGCATTGCATCACCCGACTATTTGAACCACTAACAACGGTGCTCTTCCTGATGCCAGAAAAAGGCCATAGTTGTTCCTCAAATATAGAAACTGTTTCGAAAACTATCGCCCGGTAAGTCTAACATCCGTAGTGGTTAAAATGGTAATTGCACAATACCTGAGAGCGGTATATAGGGGATACAGGGAATGTACGCAGGGCAACATGGGTTCAGACCAGGAAAGCCAACTTCTAATAGTTCGCCAAGCCATTTCGGACTGTTTAGACGCAGGGAAAACAATGGACGCGGTAGTCATAGATTTCACAAAAGCATTCGACGTAGTGCCTCGCGAGAGATTACTTAATAAATAGTAAGAAAAACGGGAATTGATACAAGAGTAATCACTTGGATCGAATCTTTCCTTCACGATTGCTCTCAAAGAGTTAAGATAGATGATTATCTTTCTGATTACACTAATCTGACATTGTAATTGCTCAAGTAAGTGTGCTAGCTCCTCTTCTATTTCCAGCATACGTTAATGATATTTCCGATTCTATTAATTCAGTGATTGGGCTCTTCGCAGATGACTGCATATTATACCGACGAATATAAGAGGCTCGAAATCTTCAGATTTTTCAAAAAGAACGTGAGGAAACAATTAAAATATACACTTGCAGATCAACCTGTACCTGAAGTAAGTAGTTTCATGGACTTGGTGGCTGTTATTCGATGCGATCTGAACTGGTCCGACCTCTTCAATTACATTGTGCGTTGTAATGCGCAATGCTTGGAAATCACTCCATTTTGCAATGCTGATATTGAAGAAAGGAAACGCGAACACAAAGTGCTTAGGATAAATGTTCTTCTCTTGTACGCTCGGTAATGGAATACAGCTCCGTGTTGGGGCGCGCATAGGGCTGGGCAGACAAGCTCGTTAGAAAGAGAGAAGCTCGTCCAAAAGAGAGCGACAAAACGTTTCAGAAAAAAATCATCTAACACATATGTGGGTTATCCTAGGAAAACGTCGAAAAATAACTAGGCTAGTAAATATTTACAAAGCATACACTGGATGTAAGGCGTTAAATGACATTTGGACTAGGATAGGGCACCCTGAATATTTCGGAAGAGAGGATCATCCATACAAAATTAAATATACGAATAAAAAACCGACGTAGCTAAATAATCATTTACCAATCGGACAATAACTGACTGGAACAACCTACCTGCTGTAGTTCCAGCAACTTTTCCCTCCAGTGTGCGGTGCTTCCGGAATCGTATGTGGAATTGCGTGTGATGGCAATATTTATATGTGCACACGTAAGCATCTGTTGCTTGATTCCATAAATTATTGTTATCCAGGAGGCGCCGCGTCGTTGGCTGAGAGGCCGATGTTTCGCCTGACATGTCGCAGTCTTCTTCAGGGCAGTGACGTCACTGCCCTGAGGAAGCCTCCATCATAAGCGGACGATAAGGAAATACCATGACAGAACATCCTCGTGACGTCGCGATGCGTACCCAAGGGTATATCGTATCACAGGCACTTGACGTTAGGACTCACCTCCATACACTCATCTCCGTAGACGTTGCATTATTCGCTTGTAGATCTTCATGACTCCTTCTTTCATTTCCTTGTCTATTCTCAAGTCCCAAGTATTCTCACGAAAACGGGATGCCCGGTTGCAATTTTAACTACTCTTCGTGATACCGCGTCCTATAAACCCTCTATGTCCGCTTCAAGCCTGGTAGCTTATTATTATTATTATTATTATTATTATTATTATTATTATTATTATTGTTGTTACAACATCCCATGAAAGGGCAAAAGCCTCCTGGTTAAGCTTACATTAGGTTGATATTTGTAAAATCATTTTCTGTTTGCTTTCGTATCCCAGTTGTCTTCATTTTGCCTCTCTTGGGTCAATCTCGTCCAGGTGGGATGTTGCTTAGCTCGTCTGCCCATCTTCTCTGACTCCCTTGGTTCATCCAGCCATACCGAGGGTGCCAGATTGTTGTAGTGTACGCACATCGCTTTTGATTCTGCCTTGTGATGTGTCCTCTCCAACGCCATTTACTCACTTTGGTTTGCTGAACTGCATCGTTGATTTTGGTCTTTTTCCTTACTTCCATAGATGGTATTTTGTCTAAGAGCGAAATGTGTAACAATTTTCGTTTCATTTTCCTCTGGAATCGTATCTATTTCATTTGCGCTACTGTTTGTAATCCATAAATCAATACAGGCAAGGTGCACACGTCAATTAATACCTTGGTTGCTAGAAAGTACGCACGCATTGATGAAGATATTTAACTCGTTAGTCCATTTAATTCGTTGACATTTATTCTGAGGTTGGGTGGGATGAGCTGTCATCTCACCCAAGACACGACTACGACTGGAAGTCTGGTATGGGGTCGCCATACGCAGTGCATTGCCACGCCATTTCGTACGGCATGGGGGTTCCATTTCTCTCCATTGCAACGGGTAGCACATTTCGCAGCGTGCGCCCAGTGTCAGAACGCGACGCGCCGCCTTGGAAGAGCGGGCTCTTTCAACATTCATCAAAACTGCAAACTGGGGAAGAGTGGAAACACCTGCCCCGACTGGGCCAGAGACCATCACCCAATCCCTTGGGGCGAATATCAGGAACACACACTACTTGGAGTGGCTACTTCAGAAGCTGTCCAGTCTCCAGGTTGCCAATTGGTTCGTCGAGTCCATTCCCGGTGGTAGTTGCACAGACCACCTCCCAGTTTTCAGAAAAAAATCCTGGCATCCGATGTGGTGGATTGGTGTTGCCCTGTTAACAGTCTCTCGACGATATCTTTACCCGTTCCCCGTGTGCCATAGATGTTCCCTTGTTGCACTTAGGGTTAGCCTTCCTGGGAAGTAAAGTAAAAGGGAATGGATAGGAAATATTTTGGAAAAGGAATTATTAAAACAGCTGAGGAAATGGAGACGATAAATCTTGGAAAACGAATCGAGGGAACAGCCAAATAAGGAATAGGAAGTGAAATATTAATTTGTAGATGAAGGGTTTTTGTTGGGGACAGCTGCGACATTTACGACAGAAGCAGATCCCTTGGTGCTATTTCACAAAACACTCCGGGCACCACCCGGGGTTTATTACTACTACTACTACTACTACTACTACTACTACTACTACTACTACTACTACTACTACTACTACTACTACTACTACTACTACTACTATTATTATTATTATTATTATTATTATTATTATTGATATAGACAGATGGAAAGTTTAAGTAGGTTTGGATCATACAGGATCAATCTTACCCAAGATGGATCCTGTATGGTTCTGTATGATATTAAGACTCTTGTACAACAGTTTTATTCCTGATATCTTCCTAAAATTGATCCTGTATGGTCCAAACCTTCTTGAAACTTACCATCTACATCATTAAACTAGGATTAGAAGAAAGAATTAACAATTTCAATATAATTATTACTTTAATATTAATAATAGGTCGAAGGAAATATAAATATTAATAATTGGACGAGAATTATTACCGGATGAGATATCTCAAGGTAACAACTTGCCACAGCTTTGATAGGGAGATCGTATTCTTGGAGCCCCAACGGTGACGAAATTTTCGGCACTACCTTCATTATATTACATGAGTAGTGGCCCCAGAGGTAAGGAAAACGCGCACAGATAGCACTTTCTCCCCACAGTACTACATGACAAACAGAATTAACGGTTTCTTTTCACGTGAAAAGGTGAAAAATTTAAAATGTTTTTGTTTCCTCCCTTCGCCTAAAGTTACCTTCGTTTGTGCGATTCCAAACATTTTACCGAATACCCAAATTTTCCATAAATGCTTTGATACTTGAAGCAACAATATACTAGTGAACAATAAGTACATTGTACTTACATGCTGATAATAGGGGATATCCGATTGGATTTGCGTTTCAGACCCAGAGTCTTGTGAAAGTTGACTTATGGCATTTTTGTCCAGAATTCTCTTCTCGTTACCAAACATCAGAATAGTTAACGAAGTCCCTGGATTGTAGGTCTCAAAGGAGGATGTTGACGATGTTGATGACCCCAATGACGTTTCAGAGTCACTGTGAGAAAGTTCCAAATCCTCCAATAACTTCTCATTTGACATCTTAGATGATTGGTTGGACTAGAATGAAATTAGAATACCAGCTGATGGATGTTAAGTGCTTAATTCGATGACTGTTGAAACCACAGAATAGTTTAATACTTGTAGCTGAACGCCGCGAACCTCTATCGCCAAACAATTGTTTTGTAAGGATATACGCTTGACATTTATAAATTTCATGATTTCGTGTTAGAGCGATACTTTAATTATTACATTAATATTAGCTGTAATACGGAAGAGGAGAAGAAAGAGAAAAGTATGAAGAGAATAAAGATGAGGATAAGTACAATAAGATTTAGATAACGAAGAGAATAATAAAGGGAAGAGGAAAAATAATATAAAAACGAAGAGAATGATCGCACATGAAATGTAAAAAAGAAGTTTTAAAAATATGATTTTCTTCGAATTAAAAGAACAAGAAATAAAATTAATTAAATGTACTGAAAAGTATATTTGAAACACGCATTAACGTATTAAACACGTATTAAAATGTAAAAAATAAAAATGTATTAAAACGTCCAAAAGAAAATTTCAAATGCACAAAAATGATGATTAGTTGTCTAATATCTACAGGTTTCAGGTTCGTTCCTGGGTTTCGGCACCAAATGGAAAGGAATCAAAATTCATTAACATAGTTATAACAACTGTTAAAAGTATTTTCGCAAAAATCTGGTAAAATTGTTTCTTTAATGCAATAACACACATTTTAAAAGAAAGCGTGTGGATTCTTTAAAAAAAAGAGCAGTTGGTATAAGAGTTAAAGGTAATTCTTAAAAAGGAGTTGAGGAGAATAAAGAAAAACACACCCATTACTTATTTTCTTTTTACTTTCCCGTACTTCTAACGTAAGAAGGAAAATCGTGCGCCGGAAAACGGTGAATTTACGACACAAAACTCTTATTGCCGGGCCCCGGTAACGAAAAAGTAGATAAATCTAGTTTCAAAATATAGAGAAAAAATCCTCTAACATGTGGTGTAACCAGAAATAATGTTTTGTAGATCGTTCATACCGAAAAATCGATTGACTGCAAAACATGTCTGTCCGTCCGCCTGTCCGCCTGTGCACAATACTTGCGCATTAACCGTTCAGCCTATTCTCTCCAAAACTGTTATTCCCGAGTCGTTCTAACTGATGTCGCGTACCCTGGAATTTAAATTTTAATTTTGGGTTATACTTTCCATGAAGCCTCTGGGACATTTCCGTAATTTCCAAAAAAAATGGCAAAAAAATTTTTTGATTAAGTTTTTTTAGTTAAATAGTGCAAAAAACGTTTACAAGAATAGTGTAGGTCTCATTGTCATTGACATACCCGATTTTTCGAAAATTGGAAAAAAAATTTAAACTTCAAAGTTGGTTGAGAGATTTTTGTCTCAAATTATGTTGTACAAAATTAGCTCTTCAAAAAACGTCATGTACAATTTTATGAAAAACGAGTAGTTTTTGCGTATTTTGCGACTGATATTTTCATAAAAATTCTCAAAATCCGATCCTAATTATTTCTTTAAGGTTTCTATGTAATAAGGTGTAATATATGTAATAAAGAATGATAAGAAATAAAGCGCTGTATATGAAATACGTATTTTAAATATTTCACATATTCATCCATGCCACTTGAATGACTGTTTCCTTTGCAGACTTTATTTATTCGTCAACAAGGGGTTTATTCAACTAGGGTTCGATTTAAGGAAATCATATTTCTTTGTGTTAGACATATTTTTGATATCATTTTGTATTTGAAAATGTTAATAATATGGTTAAAGTACATTACAATATATATTGTTCAGACATTTGCATTACTGTCAATTCTTAATTTACTGCAATTGTCAATATATTGTTGTAATAAAAATATATACATCGTACTTCATTCAAATCGAGCGACAAATTTCTTAACAAGACTTCTTACACTTCCCTCGGTGTACTGGGAGCAATGGAACTTCACTTCAAGAAAATATTACCTTTGATATTATCTAGATTTTCAGCAAAGCTGAAATTTGTGGGATATAATACAAATATAAATTTTACTGGGTAGACATTAGAATTTAGAAACGTTTTGAATTTTTGCAACTTTCGAAAACCGGGGATTTCAACGAAACTGAGACCTGCACCATTCGCATAAATGTGCTTCATACTATCGAATAATAAAATTTAATCTAAAACGTTAGAGTCATTTTTTTATTTTTAAAATACCCCAGGGGCTTCATGAAAAGGAAAATAAATAGCAAACATTTCAAATAATTAAACATCCATTCATTTTTATAATTTATTTAACATATTGTATTCCTTAACTTTTATACAAAAAGGTATTATATAATTATTACTAAAGGTGAGAAAGCCGCTGCTTTAGCACTACTAGTTTGTGCCAGTGATAATCTCTCTTGGATAGAGAGAGAGAGAGAGAGAGAGAGAGAGAGAGAGAGAAAGAAAGAGAGAGAAAGAAAGAGAGAAAGAAAGAGAGAAAGAAAGAGAGAAAGAGAGAAAGAGAGAGAAAGAGAGAGAGAAAGAAAGAGAGAGAGAGAGAGAGAGAGAGAGAGGGTCGACAGATACATGAAATGCCCTTGTCTGCGTCAGAACATGACCTGCCGTACACCTGCACATTAGAAATTGCCTCATAATCAGGGGGAAATGTCACATGTGAAACTCTGTCGTATGAAATTTCTCAGTACATTGACAAAAAGAGGCCACTTTCGATCCCACTGCGCACTCCAAAAACTGTTAATATTATTCTGTGGCATCTATTTGGGCACACACGTAATTATCCACATGTCTCAAGTGTCTATACACATAAAGAGACTAACGAATCGTTAGCACATCTTTCCATTTTTTAACAGTTGAAAAATCTTGCAATTCAATTTTCACGGATATGCATGAAGGAATGGGGCTTATGTTTATATGTATTTGAATTTTTTAAATTTCTTGCTACTGCATACGCAGTATAGAGAAAGTATTATAGTGCAGTGCGAAAAAACGGCGAATTTTTGACAGAAAACACTTATTACAATACCCTTGTAACGAAAAAATTAATAAATTTTGTCCCTCTATATAGAAAAGTAGTGGAACCTGGCAGACGTCTGCTCTACGTTTCCCTCCCTTCCCTCTTTCTCCTTCCATCTCTCTTTCTCCTTCCATTTCCCTTTCTCTCTCGTTCTCTCTCTCACCATTACACTTTCTCTCTCCGTCTCTCTCTTTCTCTTTCTCTCTCTCTCTCTCTGTCCCTGTCTCTGCCTCACTGTCTGTCTTTGACACACTGTCTGTCTCTGACACACTGTCTGTCTCTGACACACTGTCTCTGACACACTGTCTGTCTCTGACACACTGTCTGCCTCTGGCTCTCTCCGCCTTTGTCTGTCTCTGTCGGTCTCTCACTCTCTTTCTCTGGATCTGTCTCTTTTTCTCTGTTTCTCTTTGTCTGCCTCTGTCTCTCTGTACGTCTCTCCCTCTCTTTCCCTCTCTCTCACCGCTTGTCCTGTCCGCCTTGGTCTCGCCCTGTGTCACACGTGAATGGCCAGCAACAATGAAGCCCAGGTGGAGCTCAGTTTGAATGGAAATTGGATTACAATTCAGCGCAATCTTGCACTGCAGAGCCATTTATTAGTTAAAATAAAATTAACCCTTGCATAGTACAAAAACCCTTTTATTGAACAAACACGTAGATGTGCATTCTTTAATGAAGATCGGGCACACGGTTCTACCGCACCATTGCTGGCTTCTGGCGGAACATATTAGTAATCTATCTCTGTGCGAAAAATAATGATCGTGGTGCATCTACCAGCATATTATTACATTAAATTAACCGAATAAATTAAGCGAAAATTTAACCAAAGAAAATGTAACAAAGTATTGTAAACTTTACATGTAAACGCAGGAAGTACTTTGTGGTCTGTTGTACAAGAAAATCAATCAAAAATTCATTTCGGTCGAAAGTAATTCTCTTGTTTGAACGACTTAAAATAAATGACATTGTTCTGTACAAAATATCCTATTTTGTCGTTAAATAATGCTTTGTTTGAAGAAGATAGAAAGAAAGCCAGTGAACTATTCACGGGAGGGTAGGCTTAGGGCAGTGAACGATTCATCTGAAAGAGCGGTCAAGTTAACGCAAGACTTTCACGGTTTAATTGCGATTAAAGAGGAATAGAAGTAATTTCAAAAAATAATATTCTCTAAATATTAAATATTAATATGAATTTGACATATTCGTTCATTATTTACCAAATAAACATTGAGTTCTAGAAATTTTTCTTACTAACTCAGTTCAAATGATAATGTCGTATGTTTTGCATTAAGTCTGTGCGGGTTATCCTTATCCAATCACAATAATATTTATTATTTAAGTTTTTGAGGACAATCAGAAAAATATAGAAGGCATGCGTATCTGATTTCACGAAAAATCTCCCTATATGTCTTGGGACATCCTAATGTTTTGTAAAGCAATGTTTTAATTGTATGGTTTTATCTCGACTGTCTTATTATTGTAAAAGAATTTTAATCAATCAGCTAAATCAATGTCGGCGAGAGTTACTGTTAGGAAATGAAAATATAAATTGGTTTACGTTGTATCAACTTGTAAGAACGAGAAAATTGAGGTATGTAGCTTTGGTTAGTAAGGACACAAGTTTGCTGAGACTGGCTTGAGTTCGAAAGAAATTAATGCCTAAATGTACGTCGAGATATTTTAAGAGACATTCTGGTTTAAATACCCAAATGGTAGCGTCTTCAAGAGATTAGAAGGTTGGACAAACCTTGGGGAAGGTATTTGAAACAATTAGGGAATGGTTCTAAAGTACTGAACAAGATATCCGCGAAAGCGGAGCAGGGAATACTTTGAGGATTGGTGATAACCTGAATTCACGAACAATACATTTTCTTTGTATTGAAACTTCGAGTGTTCGTATAATCGATGTAACGGTTAGCGTATCGGACTGTCGGACTTAGTTTGCAGGTTCAAAGTCGATCGAAACTGTGGATTTTCAAGGTCGAAAAAATCCTTCGTACGCCTTCTTCGAAAGGAAAGTAAAGCCGA